CCATGAGAATGACCTCAAAGAGATGCGGAACCTTCCATCAGAGGTTCAAAAGTACCTGCGTAATCTGGAGGATAAACTGGCTGAGAATGAGCACAACTACTGTGTAGAAAAAAAACAGTCCAGCCAACTGAAAGAGAAAATTGCAACTATTCAGAAAGTCAGAGAAAACCTGAGGAAGCGCATCAAAGATCTGCAGAACCAACGGGATCTCTGCGTGCAGCAGGCCACATTTGTGCGGCTGGACCAGGAGACCCAGATGCCATCGGGCATCCTAATGCATGAACTAGTGGAGGCCAGGCTGGTGGGGGTGGCCCGGGACAGGTCAAAGAAAAGGAAGGTTCTGCATTGCTTATGGGTGGCAGCCAAAATTCTGTTGCTGTTGTTGTTTGGCTGCTGTCTATTGGTTGGCCTTGTCTTGGCGTACACTCACTTTTTTAATCCGCTGTTCATCTCCGAGACACTTGTGGTGCTTCTCAGTGACCAGAGCATTGACAGACTTGTACACCGTTTCTCCCCTTATCTTGAACAGAGAAACGATGGCCTTTTACCATTTTGAGAAATGAAATTCCTTCTCTCCCTCCATTGACTTGCTATCTGGTGCGCAAGTAGCAGAGGGGCATACCGGATAACGGAATTTGATGGGTGGACAACAAAAATGGACTCCCCAGCGTTGGAAACATATAACCCTCTTTGGGTATAGATCTTCTTTTTTCTGTTGTTGGCCCTATCTTTTTTTCTATGGTTTTATTATGTCTTTCGCCTTTTGCTTAATTAAAGAAGAAAAAAAAAACATGAATCCATTGTGTTTTCCTTGGGCAGTTTTCCAAAGCAAGAGGAAGGAGCAAATTCTTTTTTTTTTTTTTTTTTTTTTATTGAAATTTTTCAAAAGTTTTACAAGTAAGAATCCACCCCCCCCTCCCCAACCACCCCACCCCCCCCCCGACTTCCCAGAACTGAATATAGGATTATTTAACAAATATTTTAAAAATAACATTTGCAACTTATAAAATAATTAATAATAATAATAAAAATCACAGTAATAATATATATAATAATAATATACATAACATGAACTTTAAAATGAATAATATATACTAAAAAAGAAAAAAAAAATAAAAAAAGAAGAGAGAGAGAGAAAGAAGAAAGAAGAAAGTAGACGAAGAATAAAGCATATATATATAAAAAAAAAAAAAAGGAAAAAAATATATGAATAATAATACGTAAAAAATGTATATATATAAAAAAGAAAAAGAAGAAAGAAAGAAAGAAAAAACAATCATTACAAATTATAAAAAGGCTAAATAATATTTTTCCATATCCAAATTATGTTGTATAAAATTTATCCATTTTTCCCATACCGCAAAAAATTTTTCTTGAGATTGCTCCTTTAAGAAAGCCGAAATCTTTGCCATTTCTGCCAAATACGAAACTTTATGAAACCATTCTTGTAAAGTAGGCAAAGATTCCTTCTTCCAATATTGTCCTATTAACAACCTAGCGGCTGTAATCAAATTTAACATCAATATAACCTCCTTAGCATCACAAGTCAATAACAATACCTAGTAAAAATAATTGCGGAGTAAATTTTACCCTCCTTTTAAAAATTCTTTGAATATTCCACCATATCTTAATCCAAAAAGCTTTTATATGCTTACACGTCCACCAAATATGGTAATAGGTAGCATCCAAATATCCACATCTCCAGCATTTCGGCTGTAGATTAGGGTACATAATGGACATTTTCTTTGGGTCAAGGTGCCATCTATAAAACATCTTATAAAAATTCTCTCTTAAATTTTGCGCTTGTGTGAATTTAACATTTCTTATCCAAATAAGTTCCCAAGTATCCATTGAAATCGTTTCACCAATATTCTGTGCCCATTTAATCATACAATCTTTAACTAGTTCAAGTTCTGAATCTAATTCCACTAAAACCCCATAAACTCTCTTAATATGGGTTGGCCTTTGATCTCTTACTTGTTTTAAAAAAATTTCATCTTCTCTAAGCCAGCCCATTTTACAATCCATCTTCCATCTATCCACTATTTGTCTATATTGGAACCATGAATAAGTTAAGTTTTCATGTGTTAATTCTTCCAAAGATTTTAACTGCCAGTCTTGGCCATCCCATCTTAATAACTGTACGTAAGAGACCTTGTCCATATTTACCCCTTTCCTTATACCTTCTATGGCATGCCGAGGTATAGCCCATAATGGTATTTTGAAGTCACTTTTATAATACTTTCTCCACACTCTTAGCAAAGAGTTTCTTATAATATGAGACTTAAAAACCCAATCCACTTTTTTATTAAATATTAAATAGGCATGCCATCCAAAAAATAGGTCCCAGCCTTCCAAATGAAGTATTTCTGTATTTGTTAAATTCACCCAGTCGCTAATCAATGTCAATACTACAGCATCATAATACAATTTCATATTTGGTACCTTGAGTCCACCTCTCTCACGAAAATCTTGCATTATTTTAAGTTTCACCCTTGGTTTTTTCCCTGCCCAAACAAATTTATTAATACCTTTTTGCCATTCATCTAAATTACGTTCATTCTTTAAAATAGGTAACATTTGAAACAAAAAAATAAACTTTGGCAGGACATTCATTTTAATAACTGCAATTCTGCCCATAAGGGATAACTGTAAATTATTCCAGTTTTTTAAATCCTTCTGTACCTCCATCCACAGCTTTTCATAATTATTTTTATACAATTTTACATTAGAAGCAGATAATGTAACCCCCAAATATTTTACCTTATCAACAATTTCAAAGTCTGTTAAGTTAACTAGAGCCTGTTTATCACCATTAGTCATGTTTTTAGCTAATATTTTGGTCTTATTATTATTAATTTTAAAGCCAGAAACACGTCCATATTGTTGAATCAATTGTAATAATTTCACCACCGAAGAAACAGGTTGAGACAAAGTAACAACCAAGTCATCTGCAAAGGCTCTTAATTTATATTCTTTTTTATTAATTTCTATTCCTTTTATTTCTTGAGACTCCCGAATTTTAATCAACAAAATTTCCAGTGTTAAAACAAACAATAACGGAGACAACGGGCATCCCTGTCTTGTTCCTTTTTCTATTACAAAAGCCTCTGACAAACCCCCATTTACAATAATTTGAGCAGTCTGTTTTTGATATATATTGGATAATACTTGTAATATATTTTGTCCAAAATTCATCTCCTTGATTAAACACAGCATAAACTGCCAATTCACTTGGTCAAAGGCTTTTTCAGCATCCAAAAATATCAGGCCTGCAGAGACTTGGTTATTCTTTTCTAAATACTCTAATAAATTAATAATTTGTCTAACGTTATTCTTCATATACCTTCCAGTTATAAAACCCGATTGATCCCTATGTATAAACTGCTGCAAGATCCCCATAAGCCTGTTAGCTAAAATTTTTGCAAAAATTTTATAATCCACATTTAAAAGAGATATAGGCCTATAATTTTTAGGCAAAGTAAGATCTTGACTATCTTTTGGAATCAATGATATAAATGCATTACGCCAGGATGGAGGGATCTCTAACCCCTGTAATAAATTATTAAACAGTTCACACAACGGTTGAATCATCTCTTCTACTAAAGCTTTATAATAAATAGATGTCAACCCATCCGTACCCGGCGCTTTGCCCAATTTCAATTGTTTAATAGCTGTAACAATTTCTTCCTTAGTAATTAAACCGTTAATCTTTTTTTCCTGATCTTCTGTTAATTTAGGAAAGTTAACTTTGCCTAAATAATTATTTATATCTGTAATTTGAATATTAGTACCCTTATATAATTTTTGATAGTATTCTAAAAAAGATTTCTTAATCAATTCTTTCTGATAAACCAATTTACCATTATAATTTATTTTATCTATATTCCTCTGTTTCTGTTTTTTTCTTAACTGATAAGCCAACCATCTCCCTGGTTTATTAGCATTACAAAATGTATTTTGTTTCATAAATAGCAAATTAGTTGCAGCTTGATCAGCCATCAGCATGTTAAATTGTGTTTTTAACAATTTTAAAGCTCCTTTAACCTTTTCATCTAAGGGATTTAAAATTAAAAGTTTCTCTTTTAATTTAATCTCCTCTTCCAAGTCTTTCCGTTTCTGAGTCTGTTTCTGTCTATGCAAATTATTCATTTTTATCAAAATACCACGCATGAAAGCTTTACTTGCATCCCAGACCATTGACATTGATGTTCCCTTGTTCATATTTAAAGTAAAATATTCCTTTAAACATTCCTTTAATTTATGAACATTTTTTTCTTGTTTAAATAAATTCTCATTCACCCTCCAGGATCTCCTATCTTCCTTCTCTACAAACAGTTCCATCCAAACTGGACTATGATCGGACAATGTCCTAGGAAAAATTTTTACATTCTTCACCCTGTTGTATAAATCTGTTGTGATCAAAAAGAAATCAATTCTTGAGAAAGATTGGTGTCTATCTGAAAAAAACGTAAAATCCTTTTCTTCTTGATTACGTTCACGCCAATAGTCTCTCAATTCCCAATCTTCTTTCATATCAAAAAAGGCTTTAGGTAATTTAGCCTGTTTAAAAAAGGTAGAAGAGCCTTTTTTGTCCATTTGTATATCTAAGACACCATTCCAGTCTCCCATTAAAATCACAGATCTATAGTCCAACAAAGTTATTTTCTGATGTAGTAACCTATAAAATTGCTCCTGTTGCTGGTTTGGTGCATACAACCCCACAATAAGAATTTTCTTGCCATATAAACCAAGTTCAAGCATAACATATCTTCCGTAAGGATCTGATTCTAACAAGGTAGCAGATAAATTCTGTTTAACATAGATTACCACACCCCCTTTCTTCCCAGGGGCGGGAGATACAAAATGAGATCCCAAGCGAGGATTATTTAAATATTTTTGATCTTTAGCTGTAATATGAGTTTCTTGCAAGCAAATAATATCATTGTTATGTTGTTTCAAATAGTGGTAAATTTTTTTTCTCTTTTGAGGAATGTTTAATCCATTAACATTCCAGGACAGGAGCTTTGCCATCTCCCTTGGCCTTCAGCCTGGAGAAGATCCGCTCAAATTCTGCTGCTGATGAATATGTAGCAGAGCTTTTGGGTTTTCAGTTTTCCAAAGCAAGAGGAAGGAGCAAATTCTTATGGGATCCAATTCACTTAAAGAAACCATATGCTATCTGAAACTGAATGCAATTAGGGATAGCAAGCATGCCACGTGTCAGATGTCCAGAATGTATATGTGTGTTTATAAACGGATGGACTTAACAACAGTTTGAGAAAGTTGTGATATAGCTTCAAAGGAGCAGCAAGTTATCCGGCTTCATGGTCAGTGCTTGGTGAAAAGTTCTCCTATGCCAGCTGGGAGATCCTGGGAGGAGTAGTCCATCTGTGCCAACTGGGGAATTCTGGGAGTGGAAATCCACGCATCTTCCATCTGCCAAGATTGAGACACCCTAAACCAGGGGTAGGCAACCTTGGCTCTTTTATGACTCGTGGACTTCAACTCCCAGAATTCCTGAGCCAGCATGGCTCAGCTTAGAAACCTCTCCCTTCCCCTCAGCATGGCTGGCTCAGGAATTCTGGGAGTTGAAGTCCACAAGTCATAAAAGAGCCAAGGTTGCCTACCCCTGCCCTAAACTAACCAAATGTCTGAGATTCTCAGCTCTTCCTTCTGTCTCCCAAGGTTATTCCCACATATCATTAGATCCAGGATATGTGGTGAAGAGCAGGGACTGCAGGGGACCTCAGAGAACATTCCCTAAGACAAGGAAGGCAGAGGGTGTCAGACTGGCCCACTTGCTTGAGGGTCAGACCAGTCCCACACGTGCAGTGATCCATCGCTTGCAGCCGAGAGTAATGTCTGGGGCTTCCAAGGGTGCCAAGTGTGGGTGGTGACCACCGGACTGCCCCCCTCCTTGCCTGGGGTGCCAAAGATGTGTCCTTTGTGAATGAATACTGGTTTGGCTTCCTGCCCTGAGGAATCCCAGTCTTTTGCATTGTAGACCTGAACGGTCCCGTCGAAACCTTGAAGAAATGAGAAATGCAAGTAAATGCTTCATTGGAAGAGTGGAAGAGAGACAGAAAGGTGGATTGAAGCTGGGGGGGGGCACATAAGGGAGAAATGGTGTGAAAAAAAATGTGTTCTTTATTAAACCCAAAGTTCCAACCCAGAGGGTTATGGGGGGAAATCAAGAAAAGGCAGCATTTGGTCTATTGGTTAAAGGTGCTGACCTAGAAACCAGGAGATTGTGAGTTCTGGTCCTGCTTTAGGCATAAAAGCTTCTGGGTGACTTCGAATCAGTCATCAGCAGACTGTGAGTTCTAGTCCTGCTTTAGGCATGAAAGCCAGCTGGTTGGCCTTGGACCAGTCTCTCTCTCCCAGCCAAACCCACCTCATTGGGAGAAGGAAGTTGTGACCCACAGGTGACATGATCCAGCTGAGCCCCTCTGAAAATTGGCCCTTCTTTTCATTTAGGTTGCTCCTTGGGGTGGCCTCCCCTTTGCACACCACCCACCCCTGCAGACCCCATAAGACTGATGGCGGCAAAAGTAGCTAGCGGCCTTGCCAAGCGAAGCACCATCACAGCTTACCTGACACCGCTAAGGTGTTGCCCAGTACAGGTGCAAAGCTGATGGACAGGAAATCTACCCCACGGACGTTAGGGGTGGGAACGCAGCACTGGGCCACTTTCAGGGGGCTGGAGGGGTGTCTGATGTCCGTCAACACAACGAGGCCATCCAAGGAGAGACGGGCAATCAGTGGTGTCTCTCCAGAGCTGATTCCTGCACACCAGCTCAGCCTCTCTGTCTGGGTCCAAGGGGTCTGAGTCTCTTCGAGAGCTCCCAGAATGCCCTGGCGCTGCCGGAAGTCCACAAGGAACAGCTGCCCTTTGGCACCACACACCACAGCAGTGACTTCATCCAGGAAGCCCAGACTGGCGATTTTGTCAGGGCAGGCAGAGGCTGTAGATCGAAAGAGGACAAAGAGCCAAGTTGGGTTGCGGGAGAGAATTCTGCCACCTCCCCCCAAAACCTGACTTTGAACCAGTTATGACGAGACAATGGGTTGTAGTCTCTCTTTAGGCACGAAAGCCAGCTAGGTGACTTTTGGCCAATCACCAGGAGGCTGTGAATTCTAGTTCCACGTTAGGTGAGAAAACCGGCTAGATGTCTTTGGGCCAATCATCGGGAAGCTCTGAGTTCTAGTCCTGCCTTATGGATGACTTTGGCCTAGTCCATGGGTAGGCAACCTTGGCTTTTTTATGACTCGTGGACTTCAACTCCCAGAATTCCTGAGCCAGCTGTGCTGGCTCAGGAATTCTGGGAGTTGAAGTCCACGAGTCATAAAAGAGCCAAGGTTGCCTATCCCTGGCCTAGTCACTCTCTCTCAGCCCAACCCACCTCAAAGGACTGTTGTGGGGAAAATAGGAGAAAAATGTGTTACATATGTTTGTTCCCGTGAGTTACTTATGAAGTAAAAAAGGTGGGATGAAAATCAATCAAAGATACACATATTAAAGTCTATTCATTCTCCTTCCTGTTCCCTTGAATTTAACCTGAGGTCAAGAATCAAAAAGAGAAACAGAAATAAGAGGAAAAAAACAAACTAGGATATCTCCCCATTGGGAAGTTCTGTTTCTAAGAAAGTGACTCTTAGGATTTTGGAGAGGGTTTTCAATCAAACTGTCTACCTGCCACCCAAAGATTCTGCCCTGATTCAATTTCCATCATTTGGAGATTGCAGATTCTTTGCCCGTGGAGGATGCAGGCTGGTTTGGCACAGCTGGTTGCAATTTTGGACCAGGAACTATCTTCTGTCTTTGTGGGAGAGATGACACTCAGTAGCTTAATCATACCTAGGGTGGAGGAAAGGAAGAAGTAAGAATTTCCACAAGACTTAATTTCCGTCTACAAGTAGTCCTTGACTTATGAACACAATTGGGAATCGAACTTCCCTTATTAAGGAAAGTGGTTGTTAAATGAGACACTCAATTTTATGATAACTTTTGCAATGGTTGTTAAGCGAATCGCTACAATTGTTAAGCGAATCACATGGTCATTATGCAAATCCATCTCCCCCCCCCATTGATTTTGCTTGTCAGAAGCTGTTGTGATTCCTCCTCAGCCAGTGGACCCAGCAGCTGAGTCTGGGGAGTCAGAGGAGGAAGAGGAGGGGCCTGGAGTGACATCAGAGTCAGAGGAAGGCTCTGATGACCTCCAAGAATTATGGTCTGACAAGGAGCCTGGCCCCTCCACTCCCGCTCAGGCTGAGACACAGCTGTGCTGGGAGGCTGAGTTGGACAGTGATAACTCACAGCTGGAAGACATTCAGGATGCTCGTAAACACCGACAGGCAAAGAGAGTAGGAAAGAGGAATGCAATGGGGCGACTGCAAAGGCAAAGGAGAAGGCATTAGGAAGCCATGCCTTGGGCTGCCTAATAAAAGGGAAGGTGTGTGAGGTGCTGGTTGCTGAAGGCAACTCTCTGTGTTAAGGAATCAAGTTTCAGTGAATTGTGTTTTGTTTGCCTTTGCCTTTGGACATTTTACTCAGGTCTGTAAATAATAAAAGGGGTTTGGATTTGTCCTGTGGTTTCTGTCCGCTTGATTTGAAGAGGGGTTTTCTCTTTGTGAACTTAACAAGGAGCTCAGGTAGGCTGGGGCCAAACAGAAGCTGTCTGCCAAGGTCATTAATGGCAACCACGTTACCCTGGAGACCCCAAAACTGTTATAAGTACACTCCATCCAAATTTTGATCACGTGACTTTGGGGATGCTGTGATGGCCGTAAGTGCAAGGAACGGTTGTAAATCACTTTAGTGGCACTGTAACTTTGAATGGTCGCTAAACAAACCGTTGTAAGTCAAGAACTACCTGTAGTTTCCAAAGCATCACTTTTCTCCAATTTCTCTCCCTTTTGGAGATTGCAGCTTAGCTTTTTTTCCTGGTTATTCTACTTGGGTGCCTGGCTGAAATCATACTGACATTGAGAAAAGTGCCAGCTTCTGAGCACTGGTGAGCTGCACTTTTGTCAACAATTATAAGGGCAAGGCCAGAGGAAAAGCAATTCCTGCTTTCTTTTGTATCCTCCAAGGAGTAGAACGGCAAAGATGTCAGAGGTGAACTAACATCATCCAACATCAACCTGGAAGAGATGTGTGTCGTGCAAAGCTTTCGGGAAGTTTTTTTTCCCATTCAATTTCACCAAACCAGATATTCCTTCAAAATTCACACAATTAGCATTGTTTGTGCCAGTGTGTCTTACAGCTAGCTGGGGAAATCTGGGCATCGAAGTCCACCCAATCTTCAAGTTTCTAAGGCTGAGAAACACTGGTTTATGCTAACAGTTGGGAGAAATTTTTGTTCTGAAGAAAGACTCGGCTGTCTTCTTTAGGAATGAATTAAATTGAGGGAACGAGAAAACTTTTCAACCTTGTCCCTGCAAACTTTGAGTGGGGTTTGGCCATCCTAAAGTCCAAAACCCAGTTGGGAAGCAAAGCAGTTTCTTAGAAGCATACCTGTTTCATCTGATTCCACACGCCAAACCTGCAGAGCACTGTCTGGTGGGCCACTGGTTACCAGCAAGCTGAAAGCACAAATCAAGAAGAAACCGAGTGGTGAAGATAATTCTCTCCCCATCACATAAAGGCTCCACTTTAAGATGGGTGGAGTTGAAGGGCAAAAAACTCAGAATTCTGGACGTTGTCGTCCATCGATCTTAAAGTTGCTGATGTTGAGAAACACTGCTCTAAAGAAGGCTAAGCTGGATTGGGCAGTTGGTGGGTTAGGATGTTGGTGGGGACAGCTCTAGCCTGAACACAATAAGATGACCCACACCATCCTACTATGATACAACATACTGTAGGTCTTGTTTGGTTGCATATCTCTCAAAGCCATCCGAGGTGGAACCATCCTCAGATGTTGTGGCAATGAATTCCACAGGCAATGATGCAGTAGAGAGTCACTAACATGCGGGCCAACCTTATTCAGAAATGTGTGAACAATGTGGCAACAATTTTTGGGTTAACCTGGGCTTTGAGTTCAGAAAACGGTGGGAAACCAACTTATCTGCTTTATAATGTCTCACTTCTGTCCCGTGAATCATGAGGATCTGGTGACCTTCTGAAAGGGCCCCAGAAAGACTTGATGTGGAGTCTGTTGAATTCACAGAGGGCCATGGAGATTCATGCTGGGTATCCTTAAACCAGGATGAATACGAGGAAAACAGATAAGAAACATAGAAGGAATGTGTGGCAATTGAGGCAGCCTTGAAGTTCTCACTTCTCTGTACGCTTTATCAAAATTCTACGGCAATGTAACTGATGTGTTTCTTTGTATTAAGACTATAATTCTTGCTTGAAGTACAGGTAGTCCTCGACTTACGACCACGATTGAACCCAAAATTTCTGTTGCTAAATGAAACATTCGTTAAGTGAATTTTGCCCCATTTTACAACTTTTCTCGCCAGAGCTTTTAAATGAATCACTGCAGTTGTTAAGTTAGTAACAGATTTGTTAAGTAAATCTGGCTTTCTTCATTGACTTAAGCTTATCAGAAGGTGATCACATGACCCAGGGACACTGAAATCATCATAAATATGAGTTAATTGCCAAGCATCTGAATTTTAAGCACGTGATCATGAGGATGCTGTACCGGTTGTAAGTGAAAAGCAATCATAAGTCACTTTTTTCAATGCCATTGTAACTTTGATTAAATGAACTGTTGTAAGTCGAGGACTATCTGTAACTTGAGGTTTGCTGATTATGAATATTCATGCTTACATCATCTATTAACCCATGCATAATTTTCTATAATTTTATAAAACTATAATTTTCTTCTCCTTTCATGAAATAATAATAATAATAATAGTAAAGTTGGAAGGGACCTTGGAGGTCATCTAGTCCAACCCCCTGCTCGGGCAGGAAACCCTACACCCAATATATAAATATGAGGGCATTCTTTTGTCTGCAGAAGTTCCTATAGTGCACAGTGTTACATAAATACTGCAGTGAGCCTTGATTATCGGTTTGGAAGGAGGTCCTGTGTTTGATTGCACATTAGCATCCTGAATACTTCAGAGCCTAAAAATCACAGTCCCATCAACCACTTCATGGCTGTGTGCAATGTGGGAAACTCACCAGTATATTCACAAGACCACCATATCTCTGGCCCAGGCTAGCGCTCATGCCTAAGGGCCAGTAATGTATCTTTCAAATATACTTTTTGCTTCTCCTTTTAGGCCAGCGGTTCTCAACCTGTGGGTCGGGACCCCATTTGGGGTCGAACGACCATTTCACGGGGGTCGCCAAACAACGCAGTCCGCCATTTTTTCCCCCCTTTTCCTTAGCTGTGCTGCTCCCTTTTATTCTATTGGCTTTCAAAAGCCAATAGGAATTGTCCAGGCTGTCTCTGCCCTGCTGAGCCTGCCAAAAGTCCCATTCTGCAAACGGTGCTGCACCAGTTTAGTCCTCGACTTACGACCGGTTGAGTAGTCCTCGACTTACGACCGGTTGGGGATCGTGGCATTAAAAAGGTTGAGAACCACTGTTTTAGGCCTTCCAATAATAATAATAATAATAATAATAATAATATCAACAACAATAACAATAATAATGATGTTGGAAAGGACCTTGGAGGTCGTCTAGTCCAACCCCCTGCTCAGGCAGGAAACCCTATACCATTTCAGACAAATGGCTGTCCAGTCTCTTCTTAAAAACTTCCAGTGTTGGAGCATCCACAACTTCTGGAGGCAGGTTGTTCCACTGGTTAATTGTTCTCACTGTCAGGAAATTTCTCCTTAGGTTGCTTCTCTAGCTAGTTTCCATCCGTTACTTCTTGTCATGCCTTCAGGTGCTTTGGAAAATAGTTTCACTCCCTCTTCTTTGGGGCAGCCCCTGAGATAATTGGAACACTGCTATCATGTCCCCCCTCGTCCTTCTCTTCATTAGACTAGGCATATCCAATTCCAGCAACTGTTTCTTATGTTTTAGCCTCCAGTCCCCTGATCATCTTTGTTGCTCTTCTCTGTACTCTTTCGAGAGTCTCAACATCTTTTTTACATCGTCGTGACCAAAACTGGATGCAGTATTCCAAGTGTGGCCTTCCTTACCAAGGCATTCCTAATTCAGGTTAAGTCATCAACAAGGCTCTTAGCCACCTACCTGGTTCCTGGGACATGTTTGAGCCTGAAGATGGGGCGATCACAGATTCCACCCCTTTCAACCTTGAAATCTCTCTCCGCACATAAGCCCTGCAAAAAAAAAAGTGCAAGGATCCATTCATCATATCGAAAGAAAATAAAACAGACCAGAACAGCAAGATAACATTGGCTACACCTTTTTTTAAAAAATAATAAAATAAAGGAAAAAGTTAACATCTGCACTGCCTTGAGAGTGCAGAATTTGCGTTGCTAAGCAAGGCTATCCCAAAAGTGCTTTTCCAAAAGACAACTTGACTTTCTTGTTTTTTTGGTTTTTTTTGCTTTGAAAACATTTCGCTTCTCATCCAAGGCACTTCTTCAGTTCTAACTGAATAATGGGGAATGATTTACACTCTTTTATTTATATGCTTCAAACAAGGTGCTTATCAAATGAGTCACATCTAGTTTTATCTTTGTTGCCATGATTAAGTGAATCACTGCATTGTTAAATGAATCACATGGCTTCCCCCATTGTTTGTCAAAGACCAGCCGGGAAGGCTGCAAGTGGCAATCACATGATCCCGGGATGCTACAACTGTCATAAATATATACGCTGATAGTCAAGTGCCCAAATTTTGATCACGTGACCGTGGGGACCCTGACAGCTGTTATAACTACCCTGGGCTACATTGTTGTTGTTAGTTGCGAAGTCGTGTCCGACCCATCGCAACCCCATGGACAACATTCCTCCAGGCCTTCCTGTCCTCTACCATCTTCTGGAGTCCATTTAAGCTCACGCCTACTGTTTCAGTGACTCCATCCAGCCACCTCATTCTCTGTCGTCCCCTTCTTCTATTGCCCTCCGTCTTTCCCAGCATTAGGCTCTTCTCCAGTGAGTCCTTCCTTCTCATTAGGTGGCCAAAGTACTTGAGTTTCAACTTCAGGATCTGGCCTTCTAAAGAGCAGTCAGGGTTGATCTCCTCTAGGACTGACCGGTTTGATCGCCTTGCAGTCCAGGGGACTCGAAGACTCCATAGTTCAAAGGCCTCCATTCTTTGTTGCTCAGCCTTTCTTGTGGTCCAACTTTCACAGCCATACATTGCAACTAGGAAAACCATGGCCTTGACTATACACACTTTTGTTGGCAGGGAGATGTCTCTGCTTTTTAGTATGCTGTCTAGATTTGCCATAGCTTTCCTCCCCAGGAGCAAGCGTCTTTTAATTTCTTGGCTGCAGTCCCCATCTGTGGTGATCTTGGAGCCCAGGAAGATAAAATCTGTCACTTCCTCCATTTCTTCCCCATCTATTTTCCAGGAATTGAGAGGGCTGGATGCCATGATGGGAGCTGTAATCCTCATATTTGGAGAGTATCAGGTTGGGCAAGAAGCTCTGGGATGCTGGCTAAGCTTGGGGTGATACTTCTGTCTGCTGATCCTTCATATATATAGGTAGTCCTTGACTTACAACAGTTCATATAGTGACCGTTCAGAATTACAGCGGCTCTAAGAAAAAGGGACTTATGACCATTTTTCACAGTTACGACCTTTGCAGCTTCCCCATGATCATGTGATCAAAATTCAGATGCTTGGCGACTGGTTCATACTTATGACCATTGCTCTGTCCCAGGGCCACATGATCACTTTTTGCAACTTTCTGACAAGCAAAATCAAGGGGGAAGCCAGATTCTTCTTTTTTTAAAAAAAAAAAGAATATGTTTTATTGATTTTTAACATAATCACCTTAATATTTGGTAGACAGCATGTTGTCTGGGTTTATATTTTTAAAAAAAATGTAAACAGGACTATGACGAGGCAATCAAGATCATCAATTAGAAAAGAAGCTTTGTATTGAGGTGGTTCTTATTTACAGAAACATGAGAAAATGTTTATATTTAATTGTCATTTATTCCAATAATAAGAACTGTATTAATTTAAGACTGGCAAAAGAGAACGTTACTGGAAGAAGAGAAAATCAAGCAAAGCCATTATATGGACTAGAATTACAGAAACTAATTGTTATTGGAAGCCAGATTCACTTAACAACCAAGTTACTCATTTATCAACCACAGTGATTCACTTAACAACTGTGGCAAGAAACATCGTAAAAGGGGGCAAAACTAACTTGAAAATGTCTTGCTGAACAACAGAAATGTTGGGCTCAATTGTCAAGCATTACCTGTAAGGCAAACTCAGGTTTTCTATCCTGAGTGAATTTATCCAGTCTCCCTAGAAAGCTATCTAAGTTGACAGTTTAGTTAACAGCAGTCCCTACATTTAGTGGAGGTGAGTTCCACAAAACACTTTTGCAGCCACCATCTTGAGGACAACCTTCCCAGTGTGATCTTTACCTTATTTTGTTTTGCAAGCAGCCTCGGAGGCAGAAGGAGCTGCAAAATTTCGTTCTTGCTCCCGTGCTCGTATCCAGCGACACAAATGCCTGGAGAGAGAATCACGGTCATTCTCAGTGTTGCAATGTCATCAGGCAAGATGGCCACACTACAGGCTGTCCTCAACTTACAACTATTCATTTAGGAACCAAAATTTACAATGGCACTGAAAGAAGTGACTTACAACTTGTCTCCCCACTTACAAGGATCGCAGCATTCCCACGGTCATGTGATCAAAAGTTGGGTGCCTGGCAATGAGCACACACATTTGCAATATTTACGGCTCCTGGTATCATGTGATAATTGTTTGCAATGTTCCCAGCCAGTTTCTGACACGCAAAGTTAATGGGTAAACTTAACAACCGCATTGTCAATGCTGCTAACATTGGATGTTCTTGCTTTAGACAACAGATGGAGATGCAGCCTTTTTCTTTCTTATACTGTACTTTTAGAATTAAATGATCTGGGGGAGGGGGAGGAATGTGATGGGAGTTAGTTAGACATACAATATCGTAACAACAGCTGAAAAAGAATGGCTGGAGAGAAAACTGGGCGGGAAGCCAGCATTTCAAACTAATTGGAGAATGTGATTTATGACTGTTAATTATAGGAGGGAATTGTGCTTTGATCTATGTGCTGAAGGGAGGGGAAGTCAGATTTTGGCTTCAACTATGTGCCTATGGAAACTATGCTGCTTGATTAAAGATTCTTTAAGGTAAACAATGCCTCAAAGTTCTTTGAAGAATTTCATCTTTCGGAACCATGACATTAAGCCAAAATCTTGACAACTAGCGACTCACTTAACAACCATGGCTGTGGTGGGATTCAAATGTGTGAAACAACCAGTTCTCTGTGTGGATGCCGCTTCCGGAAGTCCATTCTGGGCCTGGGCAACAAAAGAATTAGCTACCGGTTCTGCTGAAGTGGTGTGAACCGGCTGAATCCCACCATGGCAAAAAAGTTCATAAAATCCAACTCATTTAACAACCTCTTCTTAGCTACACTCATTCTGGTTCCAGTGTTGGTCATAAGTTGAGGACTAAATGTGCTTACTGGGAACCCACATTTTTAAGCCCTCTCTTTACCTACTCCATTGGAGCAATTATTTCCAACTTAGCCTTCCCAGAAAGGGGATCCCATTTCATGATCTGCTCTACCAGAGAGGCAGATGGTTGTTTTGGGGATCACGATCCATCTCCATGGCATGGAAATGTGGAGCCCCCCCTCCCGAAAAAAACCCTCCTCAGGACACACACACACCGACAGCAGCTGCCCCCAACCCATCCAGGTCAAACCTTGAAAGGCAATGAACAGTCACTCACGTTGGTCTCCTGTCCATTCGATGACTCTGGTAGGCCCAGGAAGTTCAAAGAGATGGAGGTCATTGTATCTAAGCAAGATGAAAGAGGGAGAGAGAAGGAATATTCAGAAGGGGAAGAGAAGAGTCAATGGTCTGCCCCCCTAAGATGGCAATGCTCCCATCTTGAGGCTACAACAGGCGAGCATCACCTGGCCCTGAAAACCTTGGGGTTGTCTGAATAGTGCAGGGGTCTTCAAACTTGGCCCTTTTATGACGTGGACTTCAATTCTTGGAGTTGAAGTCCACAAGTCATAAAAAGGCCAAATTTGAAGACCCCTGGAATAGTGCAATAATAAGCAAGACCTTCAGTAGATGGAGCACTTCAAGGCAAGACTCATGCTGGTAACTACAGATAGTGCTTGGCTTACAACCATCTAGACAGCATACTAAAAAGCAGAGACATCACCACGCCAACAAAAGTGATATAGTCCAGGCCATGGTTTTCCCAGTTGCAATGTATGGCTGTGAAAGTTGGACCATAAGAAAGGCTGAGCGCCAAAGAATTGAGGCCTTTGAACTATGGTGCTGAAGAAGACTCCTGCGGGTCCCTTGGACTGCAAGGCGTTCAAACCAGTCAGTCCTAGAAGAGATCAACCCCAATTGCTCTTTAGAAGGCCAGATCCTGAAGTTGAAACTCAAGTACTTTGGCCACCTAATGAGAAGGAAGGACTCACTGGAGAAGAGCCTAATGCTGGGAAAGATGGAGGGCAATAGAAGAAGTGGACGACAGAGAATGAGGTGGCTGGATGGGGTCACTGACGCAGTAGGAGTGAGCTTAAATGGACTCCAGAAGATGGTAGAGGACAGAAAGACCTGGAGGAACGTTGTCCGTGGGGTTGCGATGGGTCAGACACGACTTCACAACTAACAACAACAAATAGTGGAGCTCACATAACACTTAAAACTGGTCCCCAAATTAAGCCATTTTCTGAGTTCACACAGTACTGATAAGCCATAACATAACCTGGTTTGTCATAAGAAAATCTACCATGGGGTATTTAATGGTCAACATCTACTTGAAGGCACATAATGAATGAAAACGCCAACAAGCCAGACTGGCAGTAGAAAAAAACAGACCAAGATGAAGGCCAGTCAAGGTTAGCAGTTGGTGGGAAAGCCGGCTTGCAACTGACCTTTGCTTGACCACTCCAATGGCAAAGGGGGTTTCGGAGAGTGGTGGGTGGGAGGCGCTTTGAAAACACCCCATTCATTGGGCTAACAATCCAATGATATCACAATGACTAATGCAATGGCAAAGCCAAGAACACACACACCCCTCCCTGCCCCAACCCATCCATTCCCTCCCATCAGCCAGTTGTTTCTCAGGGTGGAGTTCAATGCATTGTCCATTGAAAGTATCACAAAGGGATAGGGATAGAGATAGAACAGAACAGAATAAAATTGGAAAGGGACCCTGGAGGTCTTCTAGTCCAGCCCCCTGCTCAAGCAGGAGAACCTACACCATCTCAGACAGGTGATTGTCTAGTCTTTTCTTAAAAATCTCCAGTGATGGAGCGCCCACGATCTCTGGAGGCCGTTCCATGGCTAATTGCCCTCACTGTCAGGAAGTTTCTCCTTAATTCCAGGTTGCTTCTCGTCCTTCCCTCTGATGCTCTGGTGAACAACCTGACCCCCTCTGCCTTGTGGCAGCCCCTCAGATATTGGAACACTGCTCTCATGTCTCCCCTATTTCTTCTTTTATTTTTGCTCGAGTTTGGAAACAAAACCCCACTTGGCTAAAATGAGAAACTGAAGTCGAGTGTGTGGGGGAGAGATGGGAAGACTTGGGGGGAAGCTTCACACCCAGCAAGGAGCCCCTCCCTCCCTCCCTCCCAGGCACGAGGGTGCAAAGCACGAGGCCGCTGGCAGAACTCCCATCATTCTGGGCCAGGTCGGGGAGGAGGCTTGGCTGGGGAGGATGGGAATTGTCTTCCCCCTCCGGGCCAGGGAAGGCGACTCACAGCCTCAGGGAGTCCATCAACCATATTTCCTCCTCCTCCTCCTCCATCCCGGAAGCAGCCGCGGCCATGTGAGCGTTCGGCGAAACGAGTGACGTCGCTTCTTCCTGGGAATTCCGAGGCGGGGACACTGAAGCTCCGCCCCCTCCTCCATCCGCTCCGCCCCCTCGGGTCCTTCCAGCCCCTTTCGCGGCTATGCTGGTGTCGCTCGCGCGTTGCCTGTGGATGATGGGGTTTGTGATCTGTTCCGGGCCAGCATTCGCAGAGATTTATCTTCCCGCGATACGTTCGCCTGCGTGCAGAAGTGATTTACTCGCTTGCAAAATTGATCTCTGAGCCAGCCCAATGCATTGGATTTGCACAATAACACGCAGGCACGTCAGAATGGAGCTGGAAGGGACCTTGGGGGTCTTCTAGTGCAGCCCCCTGCTCAAGCAGGAGATCCTAGATCACTTCAGACAAGTAACGTCCAGTCTTTTCTTAAAAACCTCCAGGGAAAGAGCACCCACAACTTCTGGAGGGAAGCTATTCCACTGGTTAATTGTTCTCAGTGTCAGGATGTTTCTCCTTAATTCCAGGTTGCTTCTCTCTTTGGTCAGTTTCCAACCAGTGTTTCTTGTCCTGCCTTCTGGTGCTTTGGAAAATAAGTTGACCCCCTCCTCTTTGTGGCAGGCCCTCATATACTGGAGCACTGCTATCATGTCTCCCCTATTTCTTCTTTTCTTTAGACTAGCCAGACCCAATTCCTACAACTATTCTTCATATGTTTTAATCTCCAGGCCTTTGATCATCTTAGTTGCTCCTCCTCCTCCTCCTCCTCCTCCTCCTCCTCCTCTTCTTCTTCTTCTTCTTCTTCTTCTTCTTCTTCTTCTTCTTCTTCTTCTTCTTCTTCTTCTTCTTCTTCTTCTTCTCATCTTAGTTGCTCTTCTTATAATAACAACAACAACAATAATAGTAAAGTTGGAAGGGACCTTGGAGGTCATCTAGTCCAACCCCCTGCTCGGAGGAAACCCTACATTTCGGACAAATGGCTGTCCAGTCTCTTCTTAAAAACTTCCAGTGTTGGAGCATTCACTGCTTCTGGAGGCAGGTTGTTCCACTGGTTAATTGTTCTGTCAGGAAGTTTCTCCTTAGTTCTAGGTTGCTTTTCTCCTTGATTAGTTTCTACCCGTTGCTTCTTGTCCTGCCTTCAGGCGCCTTGGAAAATAGCTTGACTCCCTCTTCTTTGTGGCAGCCCCTGAGATATTGGAACACTGCTATCAGGTCCCCCCTTATCCTTCTCTTCAGTAAACTAGACATACCCAATTCCAGCAGCCGTTCCTTATATGCTTTAGCCTCCAGTCCCCTAATCATCTTTGCTGCTCTTCTCTGTACTCTTTTTAGAGTCTCAACATCCTTTTTACATCGCGGTGACCAAAACTGGATGCAGTATTCCAAGTGTGGCCTTACCAAGGCATTGTAAAGTGGTATTAACACTTCAAAGTTCTCTGAACTTTTTCCAAAGTCTCAATGTCCACACTCTACCTATTCTCTAAATGAATTTATAGCTTGCCTCTCCTGCAGGTATGCCGGTAAACACACTCTTCCTCTTGTCATGTGAATGCTGTTAATTAACTCCCTTAAATCGTGTTCCCTGTGGAGAGCAAGCAGGCCATGGTCTAGGCATGTTTTTTTTAACATATCAATGTTGAGCTTTCTACCTCCACATCTTTGCCCGGACATTTTTGATCACAAATGCCACCTTCCCTTTCCTTGCCTAAGTACAGATAATCCTCGAGTTAATGGCCATAACTGAGCCCCAAATTTCTCTTGCTAGGTAAGACAGTTATTAAGTGAGTTTTGCCCCATTTCACAACCTGGCTTCCCCATTAACTTTGCATGGCAGAAAGTGGCAAAAATGATCACATGACCCTTGAGACATTGCAACTGTCATAAATACTATACATGTCAGTTCCTAAGCATCCAAATTTTGATCACATGACCATGGGGAGGCCGCAACAATTGTTTGAAAAATGGTCCTAACTCACTTTTTTCAGCGCCATTGTAACCTCGGACGGTCACTAAACAAATGGCTGTAAACCGAGGACTAGCTGTATTGGGGTCCAATTGCAAAATTCTTCAGCACAGTCACAAACTCACAATCGATCAGCTACACCAGGTATTTTCAAGCTTGTCAGCTTTAAGATTTGTGGACTTCAACTCCCAGAATTCCTCAGCCAGAATTCTGGGAGTTGAAGTCCACAAGTCTTAAAACTTTCATCAAGCTTCCTATGCATGATGTATTCATTCTTAGCCTTTTAGCTTCTTTGGGTAACTGACAAAATAGGCAATTAGCTGATTCTAATAATGGCTCTATCAAGCCAAAGTCCAAATATAGTGATTTAGATTGACTAGCTTCGCTTGAAGCTAATTCAGGCCTCACTTGCAAAAACCTCTCAATAGTTTGGTATTAAAATTAATGGGCCAGGCCCTGAGGATTGATGTCCCCCAAACTTCAGATCCAAGCCAAATCAAAGCCATTCTTTGTGACATCACTTGCTCCTCCTAACCTCATTGGTTGGGTGACCATGGCAAGTGTCAACATTTCCAGCATTGTTGATTATTCTGGATAGCAGCACTGCTAGATCAGGTCCAAAATCCAGGTCCAACCTGGATCAGAAGAAAAGCGACTGCAAAATTGTTTTATTTAGTATTTATTTATATAGGGGGTGAGATTAGAAAAGTGGGGTTCAACATTACCCCAGAGACGTGGTCACACCTGCTTTGAGATCAATTTCCACACCTCTGACTGAATCACAACATCCACAATGGCAAAGGTACATATCTCCGTAAGAGGGTTAGAGTCATACATTTTCTTAATTAGTTTCTCATCTGAAGTTAACAAAGTCTTATCAAATACCATCTGTTCTTTATAAAATCCATACAGTTTAACGTCTTTTTCATGTCTAGCTTGCATCTGTAAATGCGCCCACCACGACAAGTTGATCCCCTGATTTTCCATTTCCTGTTTAGTTTTTAAATTCCTTTCAGAATTTAGAATATCTCTATATGTCCAGATTTTTTCAAAGTCCACCAAGTTTTGATGTGCAAATGCTTCCATAGTTGACAACCACCCTGGAATTTTCAAATATATATTTCAAAAATATATATTTGACAATGTCAACTTCTTATAAAGAAAATTTATATAAAATGTTTTATAGATGGCACTTGCCACCAGCAAGATTAGCAAATATGTTTAAAAATCTGTCAGATAGATGTTGGAAATGTAAACACAAATTATCATGTTTGGTGGACATGTAATAAAGCAAAGAATTATTGGAAAAAGATACATACTCAGAGAAAATGTTGAGAGAATATGTAGATTTTAAACCTTTTTTTATTAGGTATAATGCCAGAAAAGATTAACAAACAAAGCCTATATTTGATTTTACACATCACAACAGCGGCAAGAATAATATCTGCGCAATATTGGAAAAATGAAGGAATACCACCAGATGAAGAAATAATCAAAAAAAAATATTGGAATGTGCAGAGATGAATAGATTGACCATGAGACTGAAAGAAAAAGAAGAAACAGAATATTATCAAACTTGGGACTTACTTTAGCGATGGTTAGAGGAAAGAATAAAGGATTAGGAATTTAATATGTATTAGCGTATTTAAACTCAGACAGCACATTGGTTGAAAAAATATTATTATATGTATGGAAAAAAATTAATAAAATCTTACCAAAAAAAGAGGGTTAGGGTCAGGTGGCTAACAATAATGTGCACTAAGAAACATCTGTCAGACTTAGGAGCCAAAACACGATATCCCAATTTGATGGCCATTGTGATCACAAAGATAGAAATTGATCTGGCTCAATGATTTAGTGAAATTAACCTAAAAAGACACTTCACTGACCAGATATGCTTCCAATGTTGTTGCATGTTTGTTGAAGCTATCATCTATTGCAGTGTTTCCCAAACTTGACAATTTTAAGGCATGAGGACTTCAACTCCCAGAATTCCACAGCCAGCATTGCTGGCTGTGGAATTCTGGGAGTTGAAGTCCTCATGCCTTAAAATTGTCAAGTTTGGGAAACACTGATCTATTGCATATCAAGTCCTGCTTCTAAAATGCTGACACCTCCTTTTGATGGCAATTATTGTCAAATGTGACTGTTGTACATTAGCACTGGAAGGAAAAGGAGACAACGACTGTTGAAGAGTGGACTTTAAAACTGATTAAACCGGCAGAGATGGCGAATTTAACTGGGTTGAAATAGAGATAATGGATTAGATCAGTTTATAAGAGACTGGAAGCCATTTGTGGACTTTCAGTGTGTTCAATACAATAACAGATGGTTAATGGAGAGCTTTGAAGTGTGATGTGGTGGCCTAGAGGTGGAGTTCTCACCTCACAATCAGGAGGCTGTGAGTTCGATTCTAGGTAGCAGTAGATATTTCTTTCTCTGGGTATAAGGATAAAATATCTGCTGTGAGCTCCACATTGGTGTCAGAAAAGGCATCCGGGCAATAAATGCTCAGCTCCATTCAATTGCCACAACCCCACCCTGATGCAAAGGATTATAGGATTGTTAAAAGAAAAAAAACACCAGGGTATATATGTATATATATAACAAACAGAGGTTGGGTTCATTGGATTGCTAGATAAATAAAATTCAGGATTTTTTTATGTGATATAGTATTTGTATCAAATATGAATGGAAAGTTTATAATTATCTGTAGACAAATTATGTAAGGAGAGGAGAACACATCCAATACTTTTGATATTTTTGTCAGCATTCAGCCAGGCTAGACTTTCTTTGTTTAATGTCAGTGTGAATGATATATTTGCTTTTTATTATTCTTTTTTTTGTACACAAGGTTTTTTATTTTTGTCTGACGGTTGTTAGTTTCTTGTTCTTTTTCTTTATTTTGTATTTAATTTGGAAAAAAAATTAAAAAGTGATTGTTGTAAGTTAATTAGAATCAAAACTAGAAGCTCTGGTGTCCTGTCAAAGTCACTGGGGATTTCCCAAAGAACTCACCCCGATGACTGAACTATTTTTTTTTATTTATTAGATTTTTAATCCCACTTTTACTTTTTATAAATAACTCAAGGTAGCAAAATATCTAATGCTCTTTCCTCCTCCAATTTTCTCCACCACAACAACCCTGTGAAGTGGGTTGGGCTGAGAGAGAGAGGAGAAAGAGACAGAGACAGAGAGAGAAACAGAGAGGGAGAGAGAGGGAGGAAGAGGAAGGGACAGAGAAGGAGAGAGAGAGAAGGAGAGACAGAGAGAGAGAGGGAGGGAGAGAGAGAGAGAGAGGAAGGGAGAGGAAAAGAGGGAGAGGGGGAGAGATGGAGAGACAGAGACGGAGGGAGGGAGAGAGAGAGGAAGAGAGAGACAGAGAGGGAGGGAGGGAGAGAGGGGAGAGAGAAGGAGAAAGAGAGGGAGAGAGGGAGAAAGAGAGAGAGAGGTGGGGGAATGGTCCAAAGCAGGTTAGCAAGATCACCTCTGGACTGAGGAGGGGGTGTGACTGTGTGTCTCCATTTCTCAAACAGACCGGCATCTTGAAAAAAACTATGAAGCAGACGGAGCCCCTGGAAGATCTCTCAGCAACCAACAAGAGTCTCCGTCTCCAGGTAGAGGAATTGAGAGGGACCTTAGCCTGCTTGGACACTGAGAATCAGATGTTTCTGAAAGACAAGGAATGCATCAAAGGGCAGCAGAAGGCTCTCCGGGACACAGTGGATTACCTTAAATCCACAATAGAACACCTGCATAAAACTGTGGAGGACATCAGGGAAAAGTTGGACCATGCCAACACGGTCATCCAAGAATTAGCACTGCAGAACAAGTCTTTGGTGAAAGCCAACGAAGACCTCAACAAGGAAATGCATGAGGTCACCAGCCAAGTGGCCATCTTCAAAGACGATAAGCCTGCCCAAGAGGATAACCTCGAAGAAATGCGGAACCTTCCGTCAGAGGTTCAAAAGTACCTGCGTAATCTGGAGGACAAACTGGCTGTGATGGAGCATAGCTTCCATGTGGAGAAAATCCATTCTAGCCAACTGAAGGAGAAAGTTATGGATCTTCAGAAAGTCAGAGAAAACAGGAGGAAGTACATCCAAGATCTGCAAAACCAACAGGATCTCTGCGTGCAGCAGGCCACATTAGTGCGGCTGGACCAGGAGAACCAGATGCCAGCGGGCGTCCTGACGCATGAACTAGTAGAGGCCAGGCTGGTGGGGGTGACCCAGGACTGGTCAAAGGAAAGGAAGATTCTGCATTGGTTATGGACAGCAGCCAAATTTCTGATGATGTTGCTGTTTGGCTGTTGTCTATTGGTTGGCCTTGTCTTGGCATACACTCACTTTTTTAATCCGCTGTTCATCTCTAACACTGTTTTGGTGCTCCTTAGTGACCAGAGCATTGACAGACTTGTGCACCATTTCTCTCCTTATCTTGAGTGGAGAAATGATGGCCTTTTACCATTTTGACAAGCAAAAGGAATTCTTTCTCTCCTGTAGTTGTACATATGAAAAACCTTTGTATGTGTGTATAATATATATATATGTATATGTATACATATATATATGTACATGTATATATGTGTGTGCATGTGTATGTGTCGGTGTGTATATATGACTCTATCTTTTTTCTTTTTAAAAATTTCCTTCTATTAGCTTTTGCTTAAAGAAAGTCAAAAATAAAAATTAATGAATCCTTCATGTTTTCCTTGTGCAACTTTCCTGGGGGTGGGGTGGGATGGGGTGTGAAAAATATGCTCAAAAGCATGTCCTGGTAAGCAAACCCGAACCGGTTTTCATGGGATCCGGTTAACTTGAAGAGATGATATGCACGAGAGCTCAACGAGCTTGGTAAAATAATTGTAAAAACAAAAGCTCTTCTCCTTGTTTTGTCCAAATGAAGGAATGCAAGACACGCTGCTAGCCATTCTTGCTCTTCCTCTTCTGGTATGTCCTGCATGCTGAGGATTTGCGTTGGCCATGAAGGATTTGCCTTATTTGTTTTGTCTCCCATGTTTTAATGTGCTGGCCATTCCACATTGGTCAACTGGAATGGACAACTCACCACAGCCAACTTGCCACAGCCAACTCAATGCAGCCAACTCACCACGGGCCAACTCGCCATGGGACAATTCAACAATTCAATTTCATTACTTAAAATCATTTTTAAAATTATTTTAATTTTTGTCATTCGCATTTCATATTGTCCCTCCTTTGGCATCCTTTCTTTAATGAATCTATTCTGTTGAAAGAAAAATCTTCATCAGCGTCCAGTCCAAGCCAGGAATAAACAATGTGGAGACTGCTTTAGAAAGAAGGTTGTAGTTTATTGAAGAGAAGAGCCAGACAGTAAGATGGCTCTGGAAAGAGACCAGATGGAGCAGAGTGGTGGGCTTTTATACCTTCTGGGGCCCTTGAGGTTGTTTCCTGTTCCTGTTTGAGGCTTTGTATTCCTGTGTTATGTACTTTGACCTGAATCTGAGTGTGCCCTTTTGGTATTGGTGGGTGAATCCTACTATGTCTCCTGTCCTTAGCATTTGGGTGGGGGTATGTAGATTTTAGGTGTCTTTGTCTTCCTAATTTCTAGCTTCCCGGCTCCAGCCTTCCTGAATGGATTATTGAATTTGCATTTCTAAAAGCTGGCCTCTGCCTCAGGGCTGGGGCTGATTACTGGGGGCTGATTTCTGTCCTTTTTTAAGATCTTCTCCATTATTCCTTTGGGGAAATATATTCTGCCTTTTTAATATTCCCTAAAATATTTCTTTCTCTGGATTCTTCCCACAATTCTATCATTTCTTTAATTTTAGTGTAACTCTTGTCCTAGGGCGAGTTGGCGGCTGTGAGTTGGCCATGGCGAGTTGTCCCACGGTGAGCTGGTGTCGGGTTGGCCATGGTAAGTTGTCGTAGACCTGCCACAATTTAATCTCCTAAATAGAAAGGATCCTTGGCTCCATTTGTTGAGAAAGGTATAGTTTTTTTAGTGTATTGCAGTAATGCAAAGTCACATCTGAGAATTGCGCACCCAAATCCCTACGTTCAACTCCCCAACCTCTTAGCTACTTCCCGTTACCCACCACTGGGCAACCAATGAGGTTCAGGCAAGATATTTTCATAATAGACAGTCCAAGCACAGTTTGCTATGCAGCTGGTATGCGGGTGACCTTGAAGCAGGACTGGATATTGGCAGAAGTTTAGAAGGTCTGGTTCAACTCCTGTACTGATCTGAACAGAGCCCCAAATTTTAGTTGCTAAGTGAGATAGTTGTTAAATGAGTTCTGTCCTATTTTATGATCTTTCTTGCCAGAGTTGTTAAATGAATCACTGCAATTGTTAAGTTAGTAACATAACTATTAAGTGAATCTGGCTTTCCCCATGCCCTACCAAACTCTTTGTGACATAATCTTTCATCTTATCCTCAGCCTATAACTGAGATATTCTTTATTCCATTTCTTTGTCAGCATCAAATTATGAATCACTTTGATAATAATAATAACAGAGTTGGAAGGGACCTTGGAGGTCATGTAGTCCAACCCCCTGCTCAAGCAGGAGACCCTATACCATTTCTGACAAGTGGCTGTGCAATCTCTTCTTGAAAGCCTCCAGTGATGGAGCACCATTATCTTTTGAAGGCAAGCTGTTCCATTGGTTGATTGTTCTCACTGTCAGAAAATTTCTTCTTGTTTCTAGGTTGAATCTCTCCTTGATCAGTTTCCATCCATTGTTTCCTGACTGGACTCAGGTGCTTTGGGAAATTGGTTGATCCCCTCATCTCTGTGATAGCCCCTCAAATATTGGAATACTGCTATCATGTCACCCCGATCCTTCTCTTCACTAGATCAGCCAAGCCCAGTTCCTGCAACTGTTCTTCATATGTGTGGGAAGTCAGCCCCCCAGAGAAGGATCTTAAAGAGGCAGAAAAGCATGCCCAGTTTTTTAAATAGCCCCAAGTCTCCCTCCCCCAAGCAGAAACCAGCTCTGTATAAATGCAAATGTAAATAATCCAGGAAGGTTGGAAACCCCCAGCTAGAAGATTAAGAAGACAAAGACGCCTAAAATCTACATACCCCACCCAAACTCTAAGATAGGACATAATAGGATTAACCCACAGATGCCAAAGGGCACACCCAGACTCAGGTCAGAATATATGACACAGGAAATACAAAGCCTCAAACAGGAAACGACTCCAAACAAAAGGCTCCAGAGGGTATAAAAACCCAATCCCTACATGTGCTCACTCTCTTTTCTTCCAGAGCCATCTTTCTGTCTGGTTCTCCTCTTCAATAAACTGCAACCTTCTTTCTAAAGCAGTCACCATGTTGTTTATCCCCAGCTTGGACTGAACCATGATGAAGACTTTTGCTTCAACATATATTTTAGTCTCCAATCCCCTAATCATCAAAAAATCTCCTTTGTTGCTCTCCTCTGCATTCTTTCCAAAGTGTCTACATCTTTTTTTATAATGTGGTAACCAAAACTGGATGCAATATTCCAGGTGTGGCCTTACTAAACCTTTATAAAGCTGTATTAGTACCTCACATGATCTTGATTCTATCCCTATGTAATCTTTTTCTGTAATCCTCTAATCTTTTCCCATTTATTCATTCACGATCCAATAGCAGCCTTCAAGCATATAAAATCTGTTAGGTTTAGTCCCTTGTAATTTTAGAGGGAAGTCAGAAAATTGATTTACCCACAGGAGTAGCAGCAATTGGGGCAGAACAGAAATCACCATGAAGACACAAAATCACATTTCAATATAGTTGCCCGTTGATACAAAGGATCAGAAGTCCTTGTAGGAGAAGCATTGTGTTAGCCAAAAATCAGAAGGAATCTGGTGGTGCTTCACTCCATTGCATCTGATCAAACGAACTGCGGCTCCAAAACCTTGCACTTTTTAATACAATTTGTCAGTATGAGAAATGGAAGGGTGAGTGGAAAGCACTATAATTCAATAGTAGGTAAAAACCGAGCACTACCACCCTTTGGAAAAGAATGAAGATATGGGAAAATGCATGATCTAAAGACCATAGAATTTCCCTATAAATCAATTCTACGGTATTATATCACCATGGGGCACCAGGAGACTGATTTTGTCCTTTTTGGGACTCATGAGAATGTCATGAGAAAGGAACCGGTCATCTGATGCTGGAAGAGACCATACAGGATATATATTGCATAAAAAATATAATTCCTCCCTCTCCAAAGGAGGGGACAGTGGAAGTCATGTAAAAACCCTGCACATGGGTATTGGCATATCTTTTTTATATATATAAACATTTTATTGGTTTTTAACTATAACTATCTCCAGTGTCTGGTGTACAGCGTGTTGTCTTGGTTTATATTTTAACAAGAAATAAAAGGACAATAATAATTAATTAACAATCAATAATAATTAAATTTGATAATTCCATAAATAATATATTAATTAATGATATATCTCTTTGATCTTCCCTTCTCCCATTTGTATTCTCCTTCTTCAACCTTAGCCAAAATACAGATCTTAATATTTTCAATATATAAATGATTAGATATAGGCATTTTTTTATATTTATACAAATAATAATAATCTCTCTATATAACATTTTTCTAGCTTATATTATTCTCATAACCATCATCTCATTAGTTCAGCATGCATCTTATTTTTATAATTTTTATTCGCTTAAATTCCCTTATATTCAATCCAATTCTTATCAGTCATAATTTCTTCATATTAGTCATCTAACTGTCCAAATTTTCCCATTTAGGTACATCATCCCAATATTTTATATTTTATATCTATCTTATAATATCTACAGTAGTGGCCAAAATTGTGGAAACCTTTTGGGAAAAGTGTACAGTAGAAATGCCACCTTTGGTTAAGTTTCCACCAATTTTTCTTCTAATTTCTTGTTCACCTGGCTCTCTCCCTTGTAGCACTAATGATGTTACCTTGTTGGGTAATTAAACATCTGCAAGCAAACCATCAAGCTCAGAGAGAAGCTATATAACAGAATAAGAGTTGGAAGGAATCTTGGAAGTCTTCTAGTGAAGTCTAACTCCCTTGTCAAGCAGGAGACCCTATACCAGTGGTTCTCAACCTTTTTAATGCCGCGACCCCCAACCGGTCGTAAGTCGAGGATTACTCAACCGGTCGTAAGTCGAGGACTACTCAACTGGTGCAGCATCATTTGCAAAATGGGACTTTTGGCAGGCTCAGCAGGGCAGAGACAATGGACAATTCCTATTGGCTTTTGAAAGCCAATAGAATTAGACTCTATTCAAGAGAGTCTATTCTATTGGCTTTCAAAAGCCAATAGAATAAAAGGGAGTAGCACAGCTAAGGAAAAGGGGGAAAAAATGGCGGACTGTGTTGTTTGGCGACCCCCGTGAAATGGTCGTTCGACCCCAAATGGGGTCCCGACCCACAGGTTGAGAACCACTGCCCTATACTATTTCAGACAAATGGCTGTCCAATCTCTTCTTAAAAACTT